GGCGGCTGCACCTGGGCGAGAATGACCAGCGTCCACCCGGGACTGCCAGGGCCGCGGGAAGTTCACAGGCAGGGACACCTTCAGCCCTGGGGACACCTGGGCAGTCTCCTCAGCTGAGCCAGGACACTGGGCTGGGTGTGCCCTGGCCAGGCCCTGATCCCTGGGGCGGAGGACGGAGTGGGGGGTTGGGGCATGTGGGGTCAGGGGATGAGAGGCAAGAGCCAAGGACCAGGAATCCTAGAGAGGGCAGTTATTATTATTATTATGTAACCAAAATGTGTAAGATCTATGGAATAGTTGGAGATTCTCCTTTATATGAACTAGAATCTAGTTACTAGATGAAAAGAAACATTACTGTGGATGTTAACTTTTTTTTTGCTGAATCTTTAAAACATGAACTTGAATAAAGTCTATGAGAAATAATAAAAAGAAAGTATGCAAAATATGCTTATGATGAAAGGGGAAACTTACTGCTAAAGGAAATTATTCTTCTGGCCTCCTGTAATGTTTGTAAGCAACTCATTATTTTCTCTTACAAACCCATATTTTTTCTTTTTTAAAATATGTTTTTATTGGTTTCAGAAGGGAAGGGAGAGGGAGAGATAGAAACATCAATGATGAGAGAGAATCATTGATTGGCTGCCTCCTGCACGCCCCCCTCCTGGGATGAGCCTGCAACCCAGGCATGTGCCCTTGACTGGAATTGAACCCGGGACCCTTCAGTCCATAGGCCAACGCTCTATCCACTGAACCAAACCAGCCAGGGCCTGGACAGGGCAATTATAACTGCAGGAGCATTGAGGGCAGGAGGCTGGGGCTGGGGTTGGGGCTGGGGCTGGGGCCAGGTCAGGCGTCCGTGCAGCACCCACCTGCCCAGGAGCACACACCACCCACAGTACGGGTCCCTGTGAGCCAGACAAGAGGCACAGTCCAGGTGCTGAGCACAGGCGGCCACGGGAACCCTGAGAAGCTGGGACGGCAAAGAGGATTGAGGCCGGATGCAAACACCGGTGGCTCAGCCACACACGGGCCCCTGGCCCAGCCCGAGGCCCAGGTCCCTCCCGGCAGCCAGCTCCTGCCTGCCACTCACGGTGCTCTGGGTCATGACATACAGGTGCTCGAAGGCCCCATCAAAGGTGAGGTCTCTGCTCACCGCAGACCCCGGCTGGATGCTCTGTGTGGAGTACGGGTGCCCATCACTTCCTGGGCCCAGGTACACCTGAGATCAGAAACCACAAGGCCTGGGACCCATGTCCATGGCCACCGGTCCCTCTCCCCACAATGAAGCAATTTACAGGGAGATTTCCTGTAGGCAGGGCAGGTCTCACCACCCCGGCTGGGGGCAGGAGGGGGATCAGAAGGGCTGGGGGTCACAGTTAGACACTGCCCAGCCCTAGGAAGAGGATCCTGGGCTGGGGATATGTCACGATCCCCTAGCTCAGCCTCAGGGGACCCGGGGTCACTCTGTCCAGGCTGGGTCCCCAGCAGCCTGTCTCCTCCAGACCTCGGGGCAGGGCCCAGTACTTCCTGTGGACTCACCCTGTGCAGCTGCCCTTGACTGTCACCCAGGAAAGCAATAGTGTGTCCATCCTCCATGGTCACTGCCACAGCTGTTAGCTGAACCCCTGGCCACTCCAGAACGGGCGTGGCTTCCAGGGGGACACGACTGGCCATGGGGCTGGGCGTGTGGTCTGAGCCACAGGGATAGGCATCCAGCGTGTCCTGCAGGCAGCGGGGAGCCCAGTGAGCCTCCCTGGATGACCTCCCGCCCTGCCCTCCGGGCCAAGCCCATTGCCTGCTGGGCTCCCGGCCAGTTCTCCGGGAACAATTCTGTCCTCTCGCCTGGGCCTCTGGGACACCCTGGTCCCTGCCCCAGGCTCTCCGCCAGCCTCCCTGACAACATCGCCCACAGCCACATGCTGGTACTTAGCCTGTCTCCCAGGCGTCTCTCCAGCTGCCTTGGCTGGTCTCCAGCAGGCCCTTCCTCCTCTGTGGATTCCCACCTGTCCGGGCCCCCCTTTGCCCATCCCTGGCCTGGGACCTGCTGCTCCCAGGTGTGTGTGAGCTCAGCCTCTTCCTGGACCACTTCTCCAAAGCCTCGCGCAGCCGGCGCCATCCCCAGTCCACTCACTGGGCCCTGCCGCCTCCCACTGACTCAGTCCCCCTCGTGCAGCTCCCCCACCCTTTTTAAAAATATATTTAAAAAATTGATTTCAGCCAAAACCGGTTTGGCTCAGTGGATGGAGCGAAGCTCCCCCCACCCTTTTTAAAAAATATATTTTAAAAATTGATTTCAGCCAAAACCGGTTTGCCTCAGTGGATGGAGCGTCGGCCTGCGGACGGAAGGGTCCCGGGTTCGATTCCGGTCAAGGGCATGTGCCTGGGTTGCGGGCACATCCCCAGTGGGAGATGTGCAGGAGGCAGCTGATCGATGTTTCTCTCTCATCAATGTTTCTGACTCTCTATCTCTCTCCCTTCCTCTCTGTAAAAAATCAAT